GTGAATTATTTTTACGATTTATCTCGTTTTGTCTTTAAATAGTCGTGACTTCTGATGCGTTAATTAAAAGTTCGATTTCTATGTTTAACAATTTTCAAAGAAACGATGTGAGAATTTTTTAAAGTTCTCTACGTAGTTTCTCAGATTCAGTTTCGTTTCCTGTAAAGTTGCATTCTGAAACCGGGTATCCGTTGTACGTTAGTATATCTTGCAATTAAAAGGAAGGAAGGACGCTGTAAAAGAGGAAGACCTATTTATCATACGACGAGGCCCAGCCGATCGAAACTGCCTTCCGGTAAAGCCACTCTCTCATTGGGCATGCGCGGTAAACAATCACGCAAGGATTTATGTTAAACAATAAAGTCGTATCGATTCACCTGTTTTCTTCTATTTTTAATACTTCGCTCTTAGAGGGTGAATCTTTCTGCGTTCGTCTTTTAAATTCTTCAATATTTACAACATTGCAAAATGCAAAGCACAGGTATACTACAAAAATTACGTAGAAGAGAATTTAAAAAAATTGTTTCTATTTGAAGTAGAAAAATATTTTTATTCGATAAGATGAAACAAGTCGCAGACTAGTTATTTATTTTACGTCTTTCGAATTTTTATTTCTTCTTTTTTGTTTTCTTAGTCTATCGATTTTTATATTTTTCTTATTATTGTTATTATTTGATGGAAAAATATAGAAGAAAAGAAGCGTGGAATTTTGTGAAAGGAAGGATCATTTATCACAAGGGCATAAGTTCTGTGGATTTAGAACTGCCCTTTACTTATATGCATCTTGACATCACATCAATCGTGGCCGACAAACCGAGGGAGAAATGAATGTTTTGCTTTTTCCGGTTATCACAGATATACCAGAGAGTTTTATGCTCTACATTCGTAGTAAATTATTTTTGTAATAATAATAATAATAAATGATCACTTGATAGATAATAGATTATTTATTATCAGTTTTACGGTTCATTTTTGTTATTATATTACATTTGGTGCGTTGTAAATTTCAAGTTTTAATTAGAGTGCGAAAAAATTCCAGACGCGCTGTATGTATATGAAGATTAATGAGTGTACTTGTATCAAGGTTGTGTTTGTATAGATAATATTAAAGTTTGTTAGATTGGTTGATGAATTATGTCAGTGTGGTGAATTTTGTAATAGATCATTATATAAAAATATTAAACTTAACATTTTTAATAGGTATAAATTTTATATATAAAAATTATACGATTTCAATTTGATTACTTTTAATCGATACATTCTGCTTAAAATTATTAAATCTTGAAAATCCCGTTGAAAACGAGTCACTAAACAATACAAACTAATATTTCATCCCTGTGACGATGTAACTTCCTCTGGAGTTTATTGCATTTTACTCACAGCAAAATGTAGCTTCCTTTACATGCAACAGTACATCATATCCTGTATTATCCATAAAATCCCATAACTTACTTAACATATTTCTTCCCTAAAATAACAAATATTCCATATTTGTTTATTTTTTTAACATTTTTTAACTAGTTTTCTGTCTTCGTGATTACTTCATAGTCTACAGAATTTCCATAATTATTCTCCAGAATTGATATATCAGTTTTTATATCTCGAGCATGAATCGTTTTCATTGAACGTTCAAAATTCTCTCTAACCAGCGTTAAAATTCCACCCTAGTCGCTTCGAATAAACAGCCCTGTCGGCTAGAAATTAACTCGTCGCAGGTGGTCGCAATTCATCACGATTAACTATCGCGCTGATACATCTTCATCCTGATCGTACAATTGGAAACGTGGCGAACGAAGTCCTGGACGAACGCAATTGCACAACAGGAAGAAAATTTGATGCACGCTATTAACCCAGCTGTTTGCACACGCACTCACCATCTCTGTTCTGAATCATTTTCCCGGTAAGTTCATTATCTTGCGCGAATAGAGACGTATCGCGTTCGGGACGAGAGAGTTTCTTCTGATGCTCGAAGGAAGATTCGACAGCGGAAACTCGAAACGTAAAAGATTCGGTGTTTCAGGCGGAAACTTGGATTTTCGATTGCGAGTGGATATTTGGAAACGAGAGATTTTAGATTGTCAGTGGAAATTTGCAGATGAGAGATTTTAGATTGTGGGTGAAAATTTGAAGATGAGAGATTTTAGATTGTCAGTGGAAATTTGAAGATGAGAGATTTTAGATTCGAAAAGGTAATTCGAAGATGGAAAATTTCAGGGTAAATTCGGTGTTTCAGGTGAGAACTTAGATTTTCGATTGCGAGTGGATATTTGGAAATGAAAGGTTTTAGATTGCAAGAGGAAATTTGAAAATGAGGGGATTTCGATTTTAGAGAGATAATTGAATAAACAATCGTAGATTACAGGTGGAAATGCGAAACTAAGAAACTTAAATTTAGAAATAAACGATCTTTACCTAAAATAAATTGAAATTGATTTTTTATCAATTTCGAAATCACTTTGGGAATTTTTCACAAAAGTATTTAGAACATTTTGTAAGACAAATATATATATATATATTGTAGCTTTACATAGAGAGAAACCATTTATAATACTGACGATTCGATTCACAATATAATTACAATACTAACGTTCATGTTAATTAAATGCATTCAGTAACATTGCTTTGCTATTGCTTAACTTAATCGTGGGGATAATTATTACACATCTATAGCTAAAACAGAATTTGCGTTAAAATTGTACAATTAATTAGGAATGTACAGTTATCCTCGTAAATGTACTGTATTGTTGTATTAAAATTAGATTAAAATTGTTACACTTCTGGTAAACTATGTTGCTGGACTTAAAGAAGAAAATTATGTTTTCGTTTATTTCCGGTGAGGGATATGAAAAATTCGTGTTAAAACGTTCGTGTATGCATGTATATATAAATTAACGGCGAAGAGGAACTGCCGTGCATGAGTGGGATGGAATCTTAAATTCTAAAAAAGAAAGAGCAACGTTGCGATTGTCCCTGTTGGGTTTTCTTGTTACCTTAATTCGCCTGTATTTACAATTAGCCTGCGTAAAAAGCACCTAAAAAGGTGGAACGTGAGAATTTTCTCTGCTGAATAATAAAGTGGAGGAGAACTGAAATTTTTTTTCGCTGGAATAACAAGGTAAAAAAATAATTTGTAATGTCGCGCGTTCGTAATTTGGAAATTTAAAGAGACAACTCCTAATTATTCTCATGAACAATATTTTTGCTAGAATATTTATAGAAAATGTAAAAAAAATTCGGGCATTGCAACTGTTATCTGAAAGATTATACAAAATTGTTAAAATTAAAGTACGTGTTACGCACAAGTTTTTAGGGTATTTTTTTACCGTTAGAGAATAAATAATATTTCTTGGTACTGCTGGTAACAATATTTTACAATTAGCGAAGAAATTAATACTTTCAAGCAGTCGGTAAATTTTGACGAATAAATTTGTCTTAATTTGGCAACAACTTTTAATAATGTTTCGAAACGGAACAACGTTATTTTATAAATCGAACAATTCGTATTTAAAGGGAAATAATATTTATACATTTGAAGAAGATTGCAGTATGAAAAATTATTGAAAAAATTAAATATAGGTAGCAGTTTCCTATTCGTAGTGTTAATGTTTTTACTTACACTTCAATAGAACTATGTTATTTCTATGAAATTACTTAAGGAAATACTTACACGTTAATAGAATTACTTTAATTATGAAATTACTTAAGAAAATCAAGATGCAAGTTTTAGTCATCGTTCGATAATTTGGAAAAAGGGAATTACTTCTGTTTGTAGGAAAGTCTTTTACAATATGCAGAGTTTCGATAAGGCATTGTGTGCTTTGCATCTTTATCTTTCGTCGGTAAAATCTATTCTCGTAATTACATCACAGTATACTGTACAAGATTATTTTCAGCGTAAAATTTCCCGTTTGATATTGTTCTCAAACATTCAGTGTGGCTTAACTTCGAACTAACCTGTTAAAAATGTAGTACTTATAAATATTATGTTTTATTTTTTAACTTAGAGATATATCTATTAATGGTAATAAAAAAAGCTATCGTTGTTAGTTTCTTTTTTATACATTTCTCTCAATGTTCTTATCGACGAAGATTAACCCGTTGGAAATGCCAATAATAATTACAAATTTTCGGTGAAATTTTTAGATTGCAATATTGTTCAATTCAGATTCTTTTTCATTTTTCTTTAAACGAACAGAAGAGTAAATAAAAGAAACATATATTAACATTCCAAAGGATTACATCTGTTACGTCAGCTGAGCAAATCTTTATCTTAGAATTTCATCGTTGACCATGTGTCTGGATTCTGTGTTAGATTATCTGTATATATTAAAAAGTAATTTCTGTGCGATATTAGCGTACTGAGATACAAAGATTGAATAAATGCTCGTTAAGGTACGATTAATTCAATTAATTACACGATACCTTTTGGGGAGCAAAAGAATCGAGGAATGAAAAGAGATTAATATACATATTGCAAGTACTTTGACGAGGACTAGTAAAGCAGATAGTAGTGTGGTTTACTGAAATTCCAATAATTTTAATTAGATAATTAACAGTAGATCGTGTTATCAAGGTTACTTATTAGGAAAAATTCTCTTTTATTCTTTTAATTAAAAATATAGCATTTTCCTTTGTGATCAAGTTTTTATCTCGCACGCTATTATTGTATGCATTGCTTGCATATTGTATATACTGTATAAAATTTATCTTATGATCTTTTCGCCAAAAAATCCAAAGAAAGAGGAAAAAGGATTCTTATCAAATGCTCAGCTTCAACTTACAATTAATTAGTAATTTTTAGTCAAAGTATCCGTCGTCTTCACACAACTTTTAGTGCTGAAGTATATAGTATAGTTATTAAACGACATACTAATTTTTGTTAAGACTCTTCATGTTTAAATTATGTATATATCACTTATTTAATACTGGACACTTTGCTTTCACAGTTGTATATATTGCAAGTGTGTTCCTTTACTTCCTGAAAAATATTTGAAGACGGGGGATACTCTCTTTGGTGTAGTCTATAATCGTACATTGTCCTGTAGTCACAGTTCCCAGCTTAATCCAACCTGAAAGTCTTTCAAAAAGCATTATAACAAAGTACGAAGTACGAGATTCGTGTCTCTTCTTGATAATTGCGATCAGGCATATTCGAACATTCCGAATTTCGTGTTCGACCCTGAAGAATGTAGTTCTTAGTGTTCACTTCAGTTGCACCAACACCATGAAGTATGTGACCATAGCTCCCAGCACCTGGAAATGTTGTCATCGTAATTTCGATCGTTAATTTCTGCAATTAACCCTTTCACTGCTGTTGGCGCCTATAAGCGTTTTGAATATTTTTTTCTCGCTCGTTTCTCGATGGCGTGAATTTAATCCTTAATCTTTGTCCTTTGAGTACTTTTTCCTTAATTTTTAAAACGGTAAATTTCAAAATTTAAAACTTACAATTTAAAAATTTAAAAATTTTAAGACGATAGACATTAAAATTTAAAATTGAAAAATTTTAAAACGTTAATTTTTAAAATTTTTCTGAAAATTTAAAACACCAAAGATTTTTCGGCCGTGATTGAACATCTACTGTCTGTCTAAAATCAGCCGCAGCGAAAGGGTTAAAATTGTTTGTGTAAAATTAAAAGCATTCAAAAATTATTAAATGTATGTTTTAGTATAGGCAAGTGTTAAAATAAAAATGGCAAAGAAATTAAGTCATATTGCGTTACCGAAGCGAAAAGATCCAAAGAGACGGTGAAGAATTTCGCGCCTGAAATCGACATCGCTTTTTGACACTGTTGACAGACGATTTGTACGAAAGTCTTAGCCTCCTCTGACCCGTCGTACCAGTGACAAGAGTAAGCGGCTTCCATCACAGATGAGCTCTATGCGTGGCAAACATTTGTAGCGTAAAGGATCAATTTAGGAAAATGCAACTTGAACTTATTTATACTCATTCATGACCTCGTATGTATAGACTTATGTTCGAGATGTAAAATATAAAACACAAGGTTCCATAGGGACAATTATTTATCATTCTGAGGTTGTGATGTTTATTCAGATTTACGGAGATAATTGGAAGGAGTATGAAACAGTTGTATTTCGAAAAGTTTCTAAAGTTACTTATTTTGAAAATTCTTGAATTCTGAAGAGTTTAGATTGAAAACGACGTTTAACGAGATACACTACCGGCCAGTAGTTTCGAATCACCTGCTGATTTACGGTAAAATTGAATCCGCTGCTAATTTTTTATAGATTTGAAATTGATGTTGCGGAGATCGATAGTATTTTACCTTATTTCGGTTGATTCGAGCGAGGAAAAATTGGTTAAAATATTCTTAAAATTGCTAACTTTATTCTGGAAATTTTTGTATAAATTTGGCCGGTAGTGTATGTACATATATGTAGCTGGTTATACCTCTTCAATGAGACGGTTTCCAAATATGCAGAGCATGAAAACTTGTCCCAGGGAGTACAACAAGTAGCCTATTACCGATGCTGCGTATGTATCGACACCGTGTATCTACGAGATAAATCGAAATGTTACTTTCCTGTGTTGAAATATTTCTTTCCTTTTATCCAGGGTGTTTCCGAACTGGTGGTACAAGCGGCAAGGTGGTGTCTCTACGTGCAAAAACAAGTCGAAAAAAAAAAAGAATAACATTTCATTTCCGGGTTTCGTTTCCGAATAAATCAGCGTTGCAGATTTACCAAGTACGCGTGTACTTGATTATACCGTAGACCAGTCCTTGTCGCGTTCGAATTCGTAAACATCACCAATGTCGTGGATTGGTGTCATTTCTGTGTCAGACCTTCAGTCTTTGCCGTTCCGTCGATATGGCAACATACGGTAATCGAGAGTACACCGACACGATTCTCGCGTTGGGTGCTTGTGCCGGGAAGAAATAATTTTATTTCAATGTTTAGTGTCAATCTCTTAGTGTTACCTAATGTAATAAATGAGAACAGCGACACAACGATATTTGTACGCCGTAGACGTGAGATTATGTGTAAGTGTACGTGTACTCGGTAGATCTTCGACGCTGATTTATTCGGAAACGAAGCCCGATACGAGAAAATGTTATTCTTTTTTTTCCACTTATTTTTGCACGTAGAGTCACCCCCTTGCCGCTTGTACTCTGTGTTGCTTGTAAACTACGAAGTTTCTATTTTTCTGTTTCATAAAGTAAAAACCTTAATTTAATTTAAAATCTTTAATAATTACTTAATTCATTAAAAAATCTTCGTTTAATTTATCGTATTACCTTCGTTGCTTGGTAAGCAAGCAAAGTTAAGGTGATGGTGGTGGCTAACATGTGCAGCAGTAGAGCAACACCGTAAGCATCACCGACTGAAGTGACCAATCTACAAAAAGAGAAAAAGCGATGTTATTATTCCTAGGCGAATTGTTATTCTTTAAATTACAACAAATACAAGTTTCTTTACGAAACGATATAGTTGATCAAAGGGCTGTAGCGCGGTCGCAAAATGAAAGAGGCGCGAATCAATTGTGCGAGATAAGGAGTTAGAGTCCAGCTCGAGCCTCGTTCCATTCCATTTTTCCATTACGGTATATTCGACAAATTTTATACAGCAAACAGTTTGGTGATTTCGAAATATCAGTTCCAATAAGAAAAGAATCAGGATCACAAGCGATCTAGTTGAGAAGATCGAAGAATCCCCATACTTAATTTTCTCGAAAACGAAGCCACAAACGAAAAATCGTTATTCTATATTTTCGATTTATTTTTTCACGAGGAATCCACTCATGTCGGGTTATAGTACCATGTACGTCTATGTACAATGGTAGCAACGATGTCTCCAGGCTTTTAAGATCAGCAGTTCTCGCGTTAGGTCGGTTCGCAGGGTCGAACGCGTGATCGCGTTGAGTCGGTTTTCCTGAGAAGGCAGCACGTGGCTGGCGGACGATGGAAGAAGGCAATGCACTCGCGCAACAACTTGATCAATTTACTTCTAATACTATTTTCTTCCGTAATAACGATACGTTTATTTTTTTTCTTCATAACTTGCATGGAACATCGCGCATGAAAATACTAGAAACGCGATGAACATGTTAGAATTTAATTGAATAATAAAATCGGTTAATTTCGCGTATAACAAGATCACTATTAAAACTGCATTTCAATGTCTGCACATATTACAAGCTTGGAGTTCTCGTTAAATGCTAAAACCCTTGAAACACGACAAACCCAATCTGTTAGTAAGCCCCTGTGGCTACAATATAACAAAGTTTTAATTTGACCTAGTTCACTGGATGAATGCATTTAACCAGTTGGTTAGAGTTTATGATTGAACAATCTCTCTTTCTCTCCCATCTGCTCTGTCTCTCTCTCTCTCTGTCGTTCTCTTTCTTCCTTCTTCCTTGTTTCTTTTTTACCGTTGCAATAATGCATTTCACCGATGTGTTGTCAAGTTACCTCTATCCAGCTTGAATGATCGATATCTCGATGTGTCTTAAAGGGGGAAGGATAAGACATAGGGTGTTCCACGTTTCTTTAATCCATAATTTACAGTAAACACTCATTTTACACGTACATTTCTATTTCTCGAATTTCTCTCCATTTCTGCGCTGTTTTCTTGCCAACTCTCGCCGGACTTTAAATCGAAGAAGAAAGTATTCTTTCCTCTTTGTGTCTTCTTCTTTTTCTCATTATCCCAAGCAAACATTTTGCAAACTTTCGAAGCAATGGAGAAATAATTCTTTGCTCGTAATTCTTTAAACAAAGGATCTTATAAATCTCCTGGTCAAAGAGTAAATCGTATATGTGCATATACATGTACTTATCAAAGAGGATAATTCTTTCCTTACACTGCCTTTACTTTCCTATTTCTTCGAGGAAAACTAAGAATGCTCAAAGCAATGAGAAACTTATTTCTCTGATATTTTCCTTACTTCTTTATTGCTGTATTCAATGTTCTTATTTCTTCACTATAGTACACAATATTAAAGAGCTACTGAGCATTGTAATGGGAAAGAATGGAATATTGAACACTGTGCTGAAGAAGTACAGAATACTGAACATCGGTGGTGGGAAAATAGGAATGCTAATTACTATAATAGAAAAAGTGCAGTGCGGTAGAAGTACCAAACATTCTCTGTTCCATTCTTCAAAAACGAAAAAACAAACAAAAATCATTTTTCCCTCACACCTATTTTTTCACCTTCAGGAAACAATCTAAGTAATAAATGTCAACGAATATAATATTACAGTGAAAAAGTAAGAATGCTAAATAATAGTAAAAAAAAAAGCTACAGTAGAATAGAAATACCAAAATTTCTCTCCTAACTTGCTTTAAAAGAGAAAAGAAAAAGAACATTTTTCCCTCACACTTATTTTTTCACCTTGAAGAAATGATCCGGGTAATAAATATCAGCGAATATTTAACAGAGGCAACAGGTTTTCGTGCATTTTTCCACAAGAGAGCCGAATCGGGGATTCGCGTGGCGGTCGAAGGGCAAACGTCGAGCACGTTCTGTATCGTCTATGTTGCATGAACGTTGAAACGTGTACATACACGTGTTATACACCTATACCGGTTGTACACGTGAACGTCGTGCAAGGTACAACCCCTGAATTGTCCAATAAATTGTCTAGTTCGCTCAGTACGTTCCCAGTTGCGGTCAATATCGCGCTCTCTTAGAATAAATACTTCACCACCGTGGGAATACACGCATCCCCCTTTTCTGTTTCTCCGCCGTTGAAGAATCTATAGGGAACGGACTGTACCTTGCCTCCTTCGTCTTTTTTTCAAAAACTTGCCAACGATCGTCGCAGGTCGCGACGTCGTTCGCCTTCCCTTTTCACGCTCGCTCAAAGATTGCCGTGTTCTACCAACCCGGAAACGTTCCCTTCCCTTTTCACCAAGCGGGTCTTCTTACCTCTTGAACGACGATAGAGAAGTAAGTACTTGGAAGTTTCGATTTTCAAACGTTCCCTCGTCTTTTAAACGTTATTTCAGAGGTAAACGAAAGGTTTTGCCTAGAATTTTTGTTCTCCTTTTGTTTCTTTAAATTTTAATTTCGATTTTTATTTATAGATTTGCTTTGTTTTCAGTTTTTATCGTATTTTTCTATTTCACTTCTTTTTTCACAGATGTAAAAGTTTCTTTTCGTTTCTTCTGGTTTTTCATGTTACTTTGAGATGTATTGTTTCAATTCTGAGATTTTTCGTGGGAAGTGATTTATCGACATCAAAGAAAGGCCTCGTTTGTTCGATGTAAATAAGACGAAGTATGATTTAGCATAGAAAACAGGAAAATTTATAGCTTGGATGAATCGTAAAAGTAACGAAATTATGAGCTCACACGCTGCTTGCCCGAATTCATTGTACCATTAATGTTTATCGACACGTTAAATTAACGGAATAGGAAAAATTACTCGGACGTTGAAGATCAAAGTGCTCCACAAAATGTTCGTGGGTGGAGCTGCGTTCGATTGACTGTAAAATCCCATTGTCACGTGAAATTAATGTAACGGTATATACTAGTTGAATCTCGATCTACCTTTCGTATAAAATGGCCCATTCGATCGAAGTTGAATCAGAATCAATTTCGAAGAAGTGCAATTAATTTCGAAGAAAATGGTTCGAAAGGAAGTTGTTCCGTTCGTATTATAGTAAGATGGTAAGAAGATCGAACGTGTCTCCCATTGGAGTATGTTTGTTCTTACGATTATGCCAGGGAATGGAAGACGTGGAGTAAACAGAATATTGATTTCACATTCGCGTACATACAACCGTGGAAAAAATTTCTCTGTTTAAATTATTCACTGATATAGCGCTGTCGGCATGGTACGTACTCTTGAAAATCTCGAGAAATGTAAAATTCACGTGTACGCTTTTAACGATGCTTTCTGTTCTTATTCTCTTGGAATTTTTAATTTTTTCTACTTTAAAGGTGAAACTTGAAAATTTCAGCATTATTTTAACGATATTTTTCGTCTTTATCTTCTTCAATTATTACTTGTATCTTTTAATCCAGAATTGACCATTTTTGTATTATTCTAAAGATAATTTTGATATATTTTCATAATTTTGCTTTTTTAGGAATAGTATCTTTTACACGAAAATTTTTGTTTAAAATGAAGAGTTTAGTGGAAACTGCAGCTTCGAAGTAGCAGAAAGGGTGTTTTAATTTACATTTGTTTCGCGCCTTTCTCGTTATTTTTTTATTCCCTGGCATAAGTCCAGGAAACTTCAGATTAATTAGGATTACGGTATGCAATTCGATTTTTCCTACATCGGCTGAATAAGTAATGTTGCTTCAGATACTTATTCGAAATGACTCGATCATAATCGTTAATTCTGAAGCACTCTTTT